CAGCGTTTGCCACACTTTAGTTTTTGATACTTGCACTTCTCTAGCCACGTCTCTAGTGCTTGTTGAGCGATTCTCGTCTACGCGATTCAGTAGTTCTTCCTCAACTTGCACCATTCGTGGTTGTCTAGGCCTCCCACTGTGCCCACCTCGAAATTCCTCCAAATGGCCCGTATCCCTGACTCTCTGGACCAGGTACACAAATCTGCGGGGCCTTGGATGATGTTGTCTAGGGAAACGATCTGCATACACTCGCGACGCCTCTGTAGCATTTTGAAGACATTCGCCATAAATTAACAACATATCAACGAGTTCATTATTGGTGTATGAGTGTGCCATTATTATTTTTTTTGAAACGCAATCGATTATACGGGTTCGTTACCTCTACACGCGTGACCGTAACCGTCGGTTGAAGGTTGCATACTGACCTGACACACTGACCCCGACCCAGTTCTGTCGTCGGGTTGAGCTAGTGTCCTAGTACCAGTCGGGGATATCGCGGGTCGCGGCTACAGGACGGTATTCAGATATTTTTGATGTTGCAGAACCCTTGATCTCGGTTCCCTTAAGACATTGGTGTATATGGTACTAAGAAAAATTGCTTATGTTTTCAAGATCTACACGTCGTGTAAAGGAAAACCCCAACTTTGCGGACACCCTGTATAATGTGGAGTATCCGGTAAACAGGATGGCAATCTAACTCCCAAAAGGTTTCTGACATAAGTGGACAAGTGTGAATGTAAAGCTAGTGTTTTCACTTTTTATAAAATGAATTACTCCGAAACATAGGCAGCTCTTTAACAGAAAACTGTTTCTTTGTATCCCAAATCCTATTAAATATAAGAAACTATTCAGATCAAGTGTTAAACAGCTGACGATTGAAACATTTGATCCGATTATGGTGAGATTGTCAAGTTGTTATTGTAGTCAGCAGTTCCACATTCATAGTGCTAGTTCTATTTGTCCATGTGAATATACGCTTCTTGGTTCTTACTAGTTTCAGATCGAATAGTTCTTTAAAATGGATAGGTGAATTCGTTTTTTAAATCTGGTAACTGCGGTTTTTCAGCAACATAGATGAGTCACTGCCAAGAATTTCGTACTCCATGGTGGTCTGGTTAACGGTGTAGAGGTCTGACGTGCGATACATATTTCACATCTCAGAAAGCTGCATCCGTTGAGCCCCAGCTTCTGCACGCTTTCGCATCCGAGGGTGTGTAACCCCCATTGTATTGCCTAGAAACCCAAATAATCCAATTTCGTCCCGCCGCTGATCTATACAAATTACACGCCGGCAATTATTCGGACAGGCGGGGATTTTGAAGCAGTTAAGGGAAGACGTGCTCGTGTTCGCTTTCGTATTGGCGCGGAGTTATTTTTTTAATTAGAGTTCCACCACCAGCCAGTCGGACAGGGATGGCTGTGTGTGTCGCTAGAAGGGAGAAAATAATTGTACATGGCTTTGAAGATGTTCCTGCATACGTTTGCTGCCTTTTGGGTGACAAGCACATCTCAATTCGAGATTTTAAAATGACAGACCACGATATTCAGAATTTGCGATAAAAAATTGTACAACAGAATTGTCTTCTTAAAGGTATATAGGGTGTTCGTTAATGATATGTGAATATTTAACGGTGTGAATCTAGATGAAAAATTAATGTTAGTTTGCTCTTTCAACACCCCGAGTTTTTGTAAGGAAACATTTTTGGACCATAGTTTATAAAGCAAACTAACATTAATTAAAAAAAAACTGAGCTGCTAGTAAAGACGTCTGTTTCGTTTTCGATGCGCCACCCTGTATGTATATGTAAAGGCGTTTTATCAAGAGATTCAGCAAATTTTAAAATGTATCACTCTTCCTATACAAAGTTTTTTGTCGAGAGTAAATAAATTAATAAACAGCGCTGCGTGGTAAGTGTCACCCTACTTGGCGCCATATTTCATCTCTACGTATTCAAGCAATTTCCGATTCTCAAAACAAATCCATGATTCTCACGTCGCGCTCCTTTCTGTCTGTTCGTTAATTTATTCTTCGATTCCTCTTTCTATGAATCTCCGTGCGAAATAAAATATGTGCGCGTTTAAACGTAGACGTGCGCCATTGCCACATACAAATGGGACGGAGTGCGATTGGTAAGAGAGAAGAGAGACTCTTTCTCGACGTCATCGTAAATGGGCCAAGGATTACGTCGGGCGAGGAGCCGTTAAGGTCGCAGCTATTGCCGGATACAGACAAATTACAGAAAAACCAGCGACGTATCTACGTCAGGATCACAAGAAGGAATGGAATTTTCAGTTCTTGTCGAAACCACAGCTTAGATAAAAATAGCTATGAGCCTCTCCTGTCAGTGTCAAGAACAGCCGCTATTTAGGCGGACAAAATCGCATGTAAATTCTTCTAGTAGAACGATGAAGGAGGTTTTGGGCCGTATCGTCAGTCGTTGCTACAATTGGACGGCTTTTTGCAGAAAGGAACCAACACACTGAATATGAAAAATCTAGAATTTAGGACAATAAACTATTACGAGCAATACCATTGACGTCACAAATACTAAGTGACATATAAATCCGAACACCCAGTTTAAATGGTTTTATTTTAATAAAAATTTGTATAAGTACTTAATGAAGCATAATAAGTAAATGATAAAAATTTCAAAATGATTGCACTGTTTTAAAGCCCTTTGACCTTTAATAATGTGTGGATGCATCCTGATCTGCTACACATTCTCCAACGCACCTAGGCATGCTTCTGATCAGGTGGTCAATGTCCTCCTGTGGTATCTCATTCCAGGCAACCACCAACTCCTCTCGAAGTGCTTCTAGAGTCTGAGGAGGACGTTGCAAATTGAGCAATCTCCTACCCATCATATCCCACACGTGCTCAATTGGGGATAAGTCGGGAGATCTGTTGGAAAGTTGGATCTGCCAGGGTGTCAAGATAGGGTAAAAGATGGGGTTCTAGAACTTCGTGGATATAACGCTGCGCGTTGATGTTACCTCTGGTGAAGATTAAAGGTGACCTGGAACCATAAGCTATAGCACCCCAAACCATAACTCCAACAGTGTGATGAACATGTCTTTCAACAAAAAACTGTGGATTCCTCCTTTCACCACGTCGCCTTCTAACCCTGGCACGACTATCGTGCATGCCTAAACAAAATCGAGACTCGTCACTAAAGACAATACTATTCCATTCCTGATCCCAGTGTGACCGTTGTCTGCACCACTCAAGGCGATTACGTCGGTGTTCTCGAGTTAAAGGGAGGACCCAGTGTGGCCGGTATGAAAACAAGCCAAAACTTCTCATTCGTCGGTAAACACTTCGCATGCCAATAGGTCTTCCGTGTTCTACAAACCGTTCATTTGCAATGGACCTGGTAGTGGAGAAACGGTCCCTTAAGGCCAATAATCTTAGGCGGCAATCTTCACGGTCTGTTGTTCTACGGCGGCGTCCAGTGCCCCTTGCTCTTTGCGTACGGCCTTCTCGAAGCCTTGCCTGACAACACCTAACCACAGTGTCTACACTTCTTTGCACTCTAACTGCAATTGCCCGAAAAGAAAGTCCAGCTTCCCGAAGTCCCACTATACGGCCCCTATCAAACTCACTAAGTTGACGAAATCGCACAGGTCTCCGTACTCTAGGCATCGTAACCGATCGTAAAGGATGTCAAGAACCAAAATCCGCCAACGTTGATTCTTTACTGCGGCTGAAGTATTCATTTTTAGAGCGTTAGTGAATTAAAAAAAAACCAGTATAAAACATTATAAAAACCAACTGATAAGGCTGAAAATGTTTTCACTTGTTATTTACAGTAAGATAAATACATTCACCACCTTTTATTAAAATAAAACCATTTAAACTGGGTGTTCGGATTTATATGTCACTTAGTATATTTCGATTTAACCTAGTGCTGTAGTATGTTTGACCGAAATCCAAAAACAAGCAACGAAATAGGTATAGATGAATACTACAAATGCTAAGACTATCATTTAGCTCATATCGCAAATACTTCATTTCGTACTTTAAAATGAAAGATTAGGATGTAACTTGCACGAAAATATCATTTTTTTAAGGAACCCTCTGCTTGCTATTCTATACAACTTCAAAGTAGCATTTTTGGTGCTAATACTCTAGAATGGATTACTGGTATATACGCTTTTTTTTTGCTTTTCGCACAAAATGATGCTCTAATCTAAATTATAAGAATATAACTTATACCGTATAGTACTAAGAAAAATACATGTGAAACTGTAAACAATCGTTGTTTTTTGCAAAAAAAGGTTCAAAATCAGCCGTGTTATTACCCATTAGCTTACTAGCTAAAATAACATTTCAAAATACGAAGGATGTCTTTTAAGTTTTACATATGGAAATAAAACAACACGGTAGGTAGTTTTACATGTCTTTATTGTTTTTCGAAGTATTTTCCACGAAGATTAATACACATCTGCATGCGCTCGAACCAATCTTCAAAGCAGTTATTCCACTCGTTTTGGTTAACACTTAAAAATTCACTGTAGTGAGAACACTGCACGTATAGTTGTGAAACTTTGCGCGCGGCCTACTATGTTTCTATATGCAAAACATAAAAGACATCCCTCGTATGCCAATTTTGAGCACTTTTTGATAAACAAATAATGAACCATGAGAATGACAATCCCAAGGTTTTGAGTACGGGAATTTGGAACTTCTAGAAGAACCCTTTTATCTATTTCCGAACGCATGGAGCAGGTACGTCGAACAATAATTACGGACACGAAAACTGCTACAGGGTACACTTAATAAATCCTAAATTCAGGCTGTTGCATGTATTCAGAATTTAAAAAATTACTGTCAGACCACTGTACATGAAGGAACACCAGCTGTCTGAAGTACGAAGTGACCTGACCATCATCAACCACTGCGATACTGAGACAGCAAGCTTTCAGTTGGAACTGCAGCCCAGTTCGCGTTTGACAGTCGGTTCACCACACTAAATAAATTCTTTTTCGTATTGTTACAGAGCGTGTTCAACGTATTGGGTGAAACACTGGCTCGTTTGGAGCAAGATGAAGAAGCAGAGAGGTGGTACATTGCAGCGCTCCACGCACAACCTGATCATGTTCCTGCTCACATCACCTACGGGAAGCTGCTGGCCAAAAATGTAAGAACATTTCTAACTTTTAATGATCAATTTGCTGCTTTTAAATAAGGTGAATGTGCAACTGTTTACAGCATGTTTGTATGTATTTCCATGCCGCACACTTTCACCATTTTTCGTACAGATGAATAAAATCCTTGGTCGAGAGGCATTCGCCATTTTTCATACTGTCATTAGCGAACTTTTGGTTTCGAACAGTTTCGATTTTGGCAAAAAGTCGCTCGAAACTGCAACCGTAACTGAAACTGTGTTGTATGGTTTCGGGTAAATTTAGTCAGACCAAGGTCAAATCTGCTAGAGAAAAATGTTGATAAATTGTTATTCATGTCATGTAACATCAGACTGTTCGATTATGTTTATCAGATTGCGTTCTAATGGCCCATTGCACCAACATTGAAATTGAGTTTTGTATGCCCACAGATATCTAGGGACCTTTTGATGTAATTAAAATCTTGGAGAATTCTAGTTTAAGTGGAATATTCAAAACTGTACAAACTGATTTCCTTAAAAAATGCCATTAGTTAATAGTTCAAAGAAACATAAATCTACGTTTAAAATATAATGACCAATAAAATCCATTTATTAAAACTAAAAATGTAGTTAAGCACACTTCAACAAAAGCTGAAATCGTTTAAATTTGTGCAATATAAATCTTCAACTTAAACTAATTTTTCGTCTACACTAAGGTTAAATAGTATTGTTGTAACAGGCCATAAGTTGTTATTTTCGTTTTATTGTCTGTTTTTTTTACAAAATATTGGAAACAAGACGACTTTATTTATTTTGTGTTTTAAGAGATCACTGTAGGTACTTTCAGTTTTCTTTACCTAAGCCTAATAATATTTGATAAAGACTGATCATTACCATATTATATAGTTTGTTTTTTAACAGTAAACTGCTTTTATTATTATTAATATTAATTGTTAAAGCCTGAATTTGTTTTTTCTTAGAGTTACAGTACTATCTTACCTCCCGATCTCCCATACAGTTGGAAGTTTTAGTTTTGGCCGGAAATAAAATTGGACCAAAATTTCGGTTTTAGTCAGAGAAACTGCTATCGCTGCCTCTAATTTTTAGGTATTTTGCTTTGTCTTCATTTATAAGAAGCCCAAAAACGTTAGTCAATTTCTTATAACCTTCTAAACGGCCTTTCAAGTTCTGCTTTTATCTCCTTTTATCTCCATATCATACCCATACAGACTGAGATGTATTATTCCAAAATTCAGGTGCTTCAGAGATATTCTAGATAAGAAATATCTATATAATCTATATTATGCTCTTGTTTATCCTCTATTACTTTACGGAATTTTGGCTTGGGGGGGAGTTATGAATAATAATTACAAAAAGGTTGAGGTAATCCAAAAATTAATTCTAAAATTGATCCTCCATAGCGAGATTACTTATTCAAGTGATTTTCTATATATGGAGGCTCAGCTATTAGATTGCAGACAAATTTATTTTAATTGTGGTCTAATACATTATTTCAAATATTCAAAATACTTTAATCGTACCATTCATAACTACCCAACAAGATTCAATCAAAATTCAATGTGTATTCCAGAAACATCAAAAACCATTACACAACGATCTCTGTTTTTCTTGGGACCAAAATTCTATAACTTCATACCAGAGTCATTAAAAGTAATTAAATCAAATAAATCATTTAAAAAACAACAAAAAAAATGGATTTTACAACAACCAAGGTACTCCATCCACGAAATTGTAGATCTGAAAAATCATTATCAAAATCAATAATATTTTACTTACGCTAACATCCATACTTTTACTTCAGTTCTAATTGTCTGGATATTTTTCCTGACATTACCATAATAATTCACCAAATTATAAAGTATTAACGGGTTTTTTCTTTTTTTTTTTCATACACTGACTGTCCTATTAGTTTTTATTTTGTACAAACCCAAACACAAGTGCAAACTTTTTTTGGGTGCTTTATGTTTATTGTGCACAATATTTGATATTTACTTGTATTTTGTGACAATAAACATTATTATTATTATTATTATTATTGCTGTATCATAGGCATAAGCAATCAACTGGTGTTTTCTATAGCAAACGGGAATTGCAGTTGCTAATTCTAAATATGGTGAAGGTGTGATCGTTTACAGCATGCGTATATGGATGCATATTTCCTGCACTTTCACCAATTTTCGTACAGAATGAATAATACTACTGAACGAGCATTCACCATTTTTCATAGTGTCATACATTGCACGGAACTCTAATAGCTTAGGAGCCTAGTCAGCATTTTTACGTTGCATTGTTTGTCGCAAAAATTACGCAGTTTTAGTGCATACTTTCGGCTCATTTGCTTATCAATGCCCACCAAAGTGACAGCGTAGTATCAACATAATAACCGGTGGAAACATCTACCTACATTAGAGCCTTTGCAAATTATGTAAATAGTTCGATGTCTTGAAATCATCTAACACCACAATTACCTGCAAACACGCCCACTTTTTGAAAGTAACACGCATCTACAGACAGAGCTGTGAAAAAAATGACTTATGTCAAGAGCACTTTGATACTCACTACAGACTATGAGAATCAGGATGGCTGTTTTTACCTAGCCTGAATTCATTGTTGCGTCCAGATTTTGGAAAATAATTTGTGATGGTAACGATGGACATTTTCTCTATATTGGCATATATTGATGACCTTTTTCAGATAAGCAGAGCTCAGGAGGCCGAACAGTGGTTTCGTAAAGCTCAGCGATTGGCGCCTCAAGATCCAGGAGTTTACCATCACTATGGTAAGAAGTTGTAATTGTATACTTATTTTGCTAGTTCTAACGTATAACAATAATTTCCAATGAATCATTCTTCTTAAACTGGCGTCATAGGTTATTAATTCTAGACGTTTCGCCATGGCCAGTGGATAACATCTGTAGAAGTGGACCGAAGCGGCGTCCTCCCAGTAACTGACCGAGCCTTTTTTTTTTTTTTTTGGTGAGGGGGGAATGCGTTTACGCACCATACCATAGCCCGAGCTACGGCGTGTGTGGGACTCCAGGTTGTCTTGAGGAGACCACCTAATACCCACGAAACCCTAACCTCCGCGTGGCCCGACTCATCAGCGTCTCGGTAGGCCATGTGTTGTGCGTGACCTGCGGTCTGCTACAACGTCTCCTCATGTGTTTCAGTCTCTGGGAACGCCGGGTTGGTTCCCTTTACCTCGCACATTCTATCGATGTCGTTAAGCGATCATCGATAGAGGGTCTGCTAGGTTCTCTTGAAACTCTTGTTTTCGAAAAATCAAGAGTTTCAAGTCCTCTTACCTATATATTGTTCCTAGTCCTGGTCCTGAAGGGTCCTGGTCCTGGTTGGTCCTGGTCCCGGTGGGTCCTGGTCCCGGTGGTTCCTGGTCCTCTGCATCCACGCCGTGGCGGGAGGAGCAACCGCGGGTTCTCCTAGTCTCCTAGTCAAGGTTCCAGTTAGCGGGTGCCAACTGGGACCTTGGTCTAGGGTACCTGGTTCTGCGGTTGCGAGGCCTCTCGTCCGGATCGTAGTCCATGAGGAATCGTAGCTGCTCGTTCGGGTGGTCCTGAGCTTTCTCGAAGGTCTTCTCCGCTTTTTTCCTCATGTACTCGTGGATGGTGTCCCAATGCAGGTCTCTACGCAAGGTTGAGTTTCTTACGTAGGATGGTGCACTGGTGGCGATCCGGAGTAGCTTCATCTCTAGAGCAGCAAGTCGCTTGCGGTAGCTGGGGGCAGCGTACCCCCAGACCGCGGAGGCGTAAGCGAGCTGAGGTCTGACGATGGCCTTGATCAGCCGTAGCTTGGTCGCTAGCGGCATCCGGCTGTGTCTACCCAGTAATGGGTAGAGTTGAGCCATGGCAGCTCTGGTCTTTGCGATGACAGCTTCTATGTGGGCTTTCCAGGTGAGGGACTTGTCAAAAATATGATCCCCAGATATTTGACTTTGTCGCTCCACTGGATATCTTCGTCGAAGATGGATGCTTCGGGGGGTCTTGCAATCCTTCTTCGTTGAATGAAGATTGCCTGCGTCTTCTGGACGTTGATGCGGATTTTCCATTTCACGCACCAGTCCTGGATGTGGTCCAGTTCATCCTGTAGTCTCCTACGGATGATCTCGGGTCGTCGATGCTTGGCGGCTATAGCAGTGTCGTCTGCATATAGGGCCAGCATTGTGTCAGCTGTCTTCGGCACATCGTGAGTATAGATGTTGTAGAGCAGGGGGGCTAAGGCTGACCCCTGGGGCACACCTGCTTCCAGCTGTCGTCTTGTTGAATGGCATGTACCAATCTTCACCGTGAACCATCTTTGTGTTAGATAGCTCTGGATCAGTTGGCACATGTTCGCATCGATTCCGGCGGCTTCCATTTTGGCGATGAGTCCATCGTGCCAAACTCGATCGAAGGCTCGTTCCACGTCCAGCAGGACGAGACCGAGCCGAGGTCTGCGATCGGTATTTATACCTGCTCCAAGGTCAAGGGTGTGTCCCTCCTACCTATTACTGGCGTTTTCTTGCCTATCGTACGGTAGTGTTTTTATGTTTCTAAGTATAGGTATGTTCTGTTAGCTTTATGTGTTTCACCTTTTCCGATGATTTGTTATTGTGCTCAACGGCTTCTGTATTTAGTCAGTATAATAGAAATATGTCGTGTCCAGAACTTAAGTTCCCTCGAACTTTACCCTTTCTAAACGTCTATAGGCGCTATTTCGAGCTTCTTCTTCTATCTTTTCCATCAAGTAATTGGCTACCAGCAGGCTTAATTTATTTTCCTAATGTACTTATGAAAAACGGCCTCATCTGCGGAAAAAGGAGAGTCTGATTTACTCAGCTGTTGCCACGGCGAAAATCCCCGAATTACGGTTTGAACTGCTTGACCATCCGCCTCACTCACCAGACCTAGCCGCAAGCGATTTCTTTTTCTTCCCTTATGTAAAAATTTCGCTCGGAGGACAGAGATTTTCGTCAAATGAAGAGGCAATCACAGAGAAAAACGCCGAATGCTATTTGGACGGGTTACAGAGATGAGAGCATCGGAGGCAGAAGTGTGTATAGTTACGAGAAGACTATATTGAAAATTTAAAAAGAATCAGAAAAAATGTTTTGCAACTTTGTTAGTGTAACGCTATTTCCTGAATCTCTAGCTCAGTAACTCCTCGGGCGCCAGCCTCCTGTTTATAGTGCGGAGACAACACTGTAGACTGTTCACTAATTTGAAGTTTTACGCTCAAAGAGTCAAACTCGAGATACTTGCTCTTTACTTTCTACTTCTACTACTTCTCTTTATGTATCTCTTACTTCAAGCAGGACGGTATTTGTGATTAAAAGCAAGACTTATAACACAATCTGGTATATTAACAGCAAATATACTAAATGACATATAAATCCGAACACCCAGTTTAAATGGTTTTATTTTAATAAAATTTTGTATAAGTACTTAATGAAGCATAATAAGTAAATGATAAAAATTTCAAAATGATTGCACTGCTTTAAAGCCCTTTGACTTTTAATAATGTGTGGATGCACCCTGATGTGCTACGCATTCTCCAACGCGCCTAGGCATGCTTCTGATCAGGTGGTCAATGTCCTCATGTGGTATCTCATTCAAGGCAACCACCAGCTCTTCTCGAAGTGCTTCTAGAGTCTGAGGAGGACGTTGCAAATTGAGCAATCTCCTACCCATCATATCCTACACGTGCTCAATTGGGGATAAGTCGGGAGATCTTGGTGGCCATGGTAACAATGTGACATCCTTATGTTGAAAGAAGTCTATTGTGACTCTTGCAACATGTGGTCGGGCATTATCTTGTTGGAAAGTTGGATCTGCCAGGGTGTCAAGATAGGGTAAAAGATGGGGTTCTAGAACTTCGTGGATATAACGCTACGCGTTCATTTTACCTCTGATGAAGATTAAATGTGACCTGGAACCATAAGCTATAGCACCCTAAACCATAACTCCAACAGTGTGATGAACATGTCTTTCAACAAAAACTGTGGATTCCTCCTTTCACCACTTCGCCTTCTAACCTTGGCACGACTATCGTGCATGCCTAAACAAAATCGAGACTCGTCACTAAAGACTAAAATTCCTGATCCCAGAGTGACCGTTGTCTGCACCACTCAAGGCGATTACGTCGGTGTTCTCGAGTTAAAGGGAGGACCCAGTGTGGCCGGTATGAAAACAAGCCAAAACTTCTCATTCGTCGGTAAACACTTCGCATGCCAATAGGTCTTGCGTGTTCTGCAAACCATTCATTTGCAATGGACCTGGTAGTGGAGAAACGGTCCCTTAAGGCCAATAATCTTAGGCGGCGATCTTCACGGTCTGTTGTTCTACGGCGGCGTCCAGTGCCCCTTGCTCTTTGCGTACGGCCTTCTCGAAGCCATGCCTGACAACACCTAACCACAGTGTCTACACTTCTTTGCACTCTAACTGCAATTGCCCGAAAAGAAAGCCCAGCTTCCCGAAGTCTCACTATACGGCCCCTATCAAACTCACTAAGTTGACGAAATCGTACAGGTCTCCGTACTCTAGGCATCGTAACTGATCGTAAAGGATGTCAAGAACCAAAATCCGTCAACGTTGATTCTTTACTGCGGCTGAAATATTTATTTTTAGAGCGTTAGTGAATTAAAAAAAAGCAGTATAAAAACCGGAATGTCCAACTGATAAGGCTGAACATTTTTTCACTTGTTATTTACAGTAAGATAAATACATTCACCAACTTTTATTAAAATAAAACCATTTAAACTGGGTGTTCGGATTTATATGTCACTTAGTATATATACACTTCATGCACGGTCTGGATATCTCAAGTTATATGTACAAATGAGATAAATCCCCATCTGAATCTAGCTGCGTTAGCGATAGAGCGGAGAAGGACTGATGCATTCCTGACGTCCTGAATCCCGTCTAGTGCTACCGCAACTCTTAAAAATCGTTTCATTCATTATAATAAATTCTAATACAGAAAACGAAAAACATCAGTTTCTGTCTACTTCTGTGTGTAACACATGGCAGCAAAGACGACAGTGGTATGTCATAAAAACATCGTTTGTTTGAGGATTCGAAACTCTTTATAGGAGACAAAATAATATATAGAACAGAGCACTATCCCAATTTTAGAATAACGGAGCTATTATTAGTGATTAATCTAAAATTTAACGTCTTCGAGAAAACGTGACTACGAGGGGAGGTCAGAAAGTACGCAATTCACAGCACCGGAAAAAACTTCATTACATTAGCTAGGAAACTTTCCAGACCACCCTCGCATTTCTTCTTTTTGTTTCAAGGATAAATGTACAAAGAAATCTATGATGACTGAAATATATCTGATAGAACTACCGCAGCTGGAGGCTTATAAATATACGGACCGCAATCCCCTGGAACGTCAAAAAAAAAGTTTAAGCATTTTTTATTTTTTACTTTTTTGCACCTCCATTGAATCCATTTTCAAAAACTATTAGCCGTTTTCATCAGTGGCATAGTAGCAACCTTTCGTGAAAGTCTGATCAAAACCTGAGCGGTACATACAGACAGACAGACTGACGGAAATGAGTTTATATGATTTTTTGTGAGTAAATGTCATATATCATAAAAAATATCTCATTTCCGAAATTTTACGCGTCTACAGTACTGCCTCGCCAGTGGGATAGGAGGTAAATAATTGATCCACTACAAAAGATCCACCCTGTAAAGTGCTAGTTCATTCTCGGCTTAAAATTATCAATCAAAACAATGATAATCAAAGCTAAATAACATTTTAGCTTATAAATCGT